TTGGAGGCTTTTGCTCCATTTGACCTTGTATTAAGGTACATAGATTTTCTCATTTTTAGTAGTAGAAGTGGGGTGACAAATAGTAAAGTATGTAGGTGAAGCTAGTAATTGGGTCTTTGGTGGGCCTAGGTAAAATTTTACATATTAGGCTTGTTTTCCTACATTTTTTCTCCAAGGAATTGATTTAGCTAGGTCTCACCACCATTTGGTGAACCTAACTAAACCAATTCCAACATTTTTGGATTGGATTAAGTGAAGGAAACAAGCCAAGTCCGCCTAGCTCTCTACTTTGCTGAGTTACTCTTTAGCTTCTCTAACACACTTGCTTCTAGCTTAGCATGTTCCATAAGCTTTACCTTAATTTTCTCTCCAAGCTTCTAGTTTAGCTTGCTCCACAAGCTTCTATGATGGTAACTAGGGACGATTAGCTTAAGTGTAAGAAGGCTAACCATAGTTCTACTTGAACCATGGTTAGACTAGCTTGCACCATAAGTTACCTATTCTCTATATAAGGCATTTCCTTCACTATGTAAACACTTTTGGTTGATATATGAGAGCATAGCTGAGACATTTCTCTGAATTCTCTCTTCATAAAAGTCTTGTAGGCTTTGGTGAAGCTTGAGAAGTGTCAAGGACCCAAAGGTCTAGGTAGAAACTTGAAGGAGATGCCAACACCATTCTGGATTCTCCAAGAAGTTTCCATCAAATAGGGTATCTGATCTTTTTATGACTAAGCTCAACCCTGATGTCAAAAACTAGAGACAATTGTAATTCAATATATTTTTCATTCATCATGAGAAAAGTATAGGCTAATAAAGTCCTATATATGTCCCTTAGATTTTCATGCCTAACGATGTTAGATTTGACCTCAGTTGATGTTCCATCTGCTTGCATACCTCTGTTCCTCATCTCGGTAAAACATGGTTGTATTTACATGATAATTATTTTAGTCAACAAATAATGAAAAAGGTATACGATCTTTTATGCCTTACCCAGATGTCAAAAAGTTGAGACGGTTTTTATTAGATGCATTTTGTATTCATTGTGAAAAAATATAGGGCACGAAAGCCCTATATATTTGCTTTTGTCCCTCATCTCGGTAAAAAAATGATTGTGTTGATATGATGATTATTTTAGTCAACAAATGATGAAATAGGTATACGATCTTCTTATGTCTGACCTTGATGTCGAAAAACTGAGACGGTTGTTGTTAAATACATTTTATATTGATCGTGAGAAAATATAGGGCTTCCATGCCCTTTATAGTTGGTTGTGTCCGTCATCGTAGTAAAAATTGGTTGTATTTACAACATGATTATTTTAGTCGACAAATGATAAAAGAGGTATACGATCTTGTTATGTCTGACCTCAATGTCGAAAAATGTAGACAATTTTTATTAGATACATTTTGTATTCATTGTGAGAAAATATAGGTCATGAAAGCCCTATATATTTGCCTCTGATCCTCATCTCGTTAAAAATTGATTGTATTTACATGATTATTTTAGTCGACAAATAATGAAAAAGGTATGCGATCTTGTTATGCCAGGCCGTAAACCCTAAACCCTATAGTTGTGTCTTTGTCCTCAAACTCAGTAAAAAAATTGGTTGCTTTTACATGCATTGGAGTGGCTAACTTGTTTTCTCTTTTTGCAGATCCAAGAAGATTACATAAAATTCTAACTGGATTAGAGACCACTTTAGAGACGGAAATTTCCATCACTAAGCAAATCGTTCTCTAAACTTCATTGCAAAAGTGAGTCACCAAATTGCTTGAATTTTCATTTCATTTGTGTTTCATTAGAGGTTCATTTGGTTGCTAGACCTTTTATATTCTTTTCTTTAAAATTGTATAGACTTACTAGAGGTGAATTGGAAACATAGTTTGTGTTCTCCCACCATTCCTAAGTTTTCTAATTGAAACCTAGTATCCGTTAGTACTTGTGGAAGTGTTCTAAGGGGCTCTAAGTGTCACTTAGACTTCCACCCTAGGGCATTCAACTAGTATATGCTTTAACTTGCTTTCTTCGTTAGTTTACTTTCTAAATGTAGTTAGGAACGTTCCAAGTTCGTTTAGAAGGCTTCTTTGCCTATTAGGGGTTCATGCACAAACACACATTTACATGAATTGTGTGCAAAATTGTTTTGTGAGACAAGTATAAAGGGGTTTAGTAATTTCCACTTGAAGAGGCTTGGTTATTAAGTGGCTCCTTGTAGCTCACCTCCCTTGATAGTACAACATGTATACTTAGACCTCCAAGTACTTAGTCTTGCACCAAAAGGAAAATATTTTGTGAAAATCTTTATCACTCTATTTTTGCAATTTATTTGAAAACTTGTGAAAAACTTTTCTGCAAAAATGAGTGATCATTCTCATGATAGTAGTGTGCACGGTCATCATTCCCCTAGAAGTCATAGGAGTACTAAAGATGAACTCTATGAATTAGGGATTATATCAGAAAAGAAAAAAAAAAAAGGAAATGAAAAGAATAATGAAACAATAAGAGGGTTGTTAAACAAGCTAGTGGTGGGTGGTGAGGCTAGCATTCTCAAAGTCCATGAGGACAATGGGCCTTCAAAGCTCAAAAGGTAAGATGGGGATGGACTTCCAAGCCTTCTAGAGGCAAACATGCGGAAGGAGGTTCACGACCCGAGATCCATCATTCACACACCCACTTAACCTCAAGTGAAGGGTTTTATAGTAGTCACCATGATGATAGCTACTAGCAATGATCTCCTATGCAGCATAGGCCTAGGCATGACTCTCACAAGGAACATAGAGTTGTCCTTCTTCCCTTTCATTGAAAGGATAATGTTGAGGATTACTTGGATTGGGAGATGAAGGTGAAACAACTCTTCACTTTCCACAATGTGAGTGAATAAAGAAGAGTTTGGCTACCCTTAGCTTTCAAGGGTATGTCATGTATTGGTGGACTTCCCTTGAAAAGGGAAGAAGATTTAATCATGAGCCTCCAATCAATCCAATATTGGAATGAGCTTAGAAGTGCCTTAAGGAAAAGGCACATTCCTTATTATGTGAGAGTTAATGAACAAGCTCCAAAGACTCTATCAAAGAAATCAAACTATGGAAGAATATAGGCAACAAATGGAGTTGCTTATGATGAGAGCTGGAATTAGGGAAAAGGAAGGGACCACCATTGCAAGGTTCCAAGGTGGTCATAACTTAGAAATTAGGGACAAGGTTGAACTATTATCCTATAGAGACCGTAATGAACTAGTTCAACTTTGTGTGAGGGTAGAACCACATCTTAGAGGGAAGCCTAACCTTAGGAAAAAATCTACCTCATACCCTAAAAAAGACTTCAAGAAGGAGGGTCACTCTTCTAATTCGAAGGAAAGACCACTAGAAAAAAAAAATCTTCGAATAAGTGCTTAGGAATATTGGTTGTCCAGAGGTTACTTACCAACCAACTTAGTGAACATGATCAATCACAAAGAAATAACCTTTTCAATTCTAGATGTAAAATTTTTAAGAAAACTTGTTCTCTCATTGTTGATAGTGGATGTTCCAATAATTTTGTAGGTCAAAGGTTAGTTGAAAAGCTTCACCTAACTACTATAGCCCATCTTAAATCTTATAAACTTCAATGGTTTAATGAGGATGAACCTATAGAAGTTAAGGACCAAGTAAATGTTCCTTTCTCCATTGGAAAATGTAAAGATGAAGTTTTATGTGATGTAATCCCAATGGATGCAAGTCATATTTTACTTGGTAGACCTTGGCAATATGATAGGAAGACCATTCATGATAGTGTGACTAATAAGATTCGCCTAGTACACCTATGCAAGAAACATACCTTGACTCCTCTTTCACCATCACAAGTGTTGGAGGATCAAGTATTTATGAAAAAAAATTACATTAAGAAAAAAAATGAAAAGAGATAAAAAAAAAACTCCTGAGTCTTTAAAAGGAGGAAGAGAAGGTGATAAAGTTGGAAGGTAGTGTCTCTTGCAAGGAAGTTGTTCCTAATAGTCATTTTTCTATAAATCATTCCTTTAAACAATGTCTTCTAGTTGAACAACCCCTTTACCTTCTCTATATTAAAGAGACACTTGCTACCACAAGTTTTGCACTCAAGTCTCTACCTAAGGGGGTTCAAATTCTTTTAAAGGAATTTGATGATCTATTTCCCAAAGAAGTTCCAAGTGGCTTCCCCCTTTAAGAGGAATAGAATATCAAACTGATTTGGTTCCCAGGGGTAGCCTACCTAATAGGCCAACCTATAGGACCAACCCCCAAGAAACAAAGGAAATAGAGACTCAAGTTGAAAGCTTGATGAAGAAAGGATGTGTTCAAAAGAGCCTAAGCTCTTGTGTTGTGCCTGTTCTTCTAGTTCTAAAGAAAGATGGGACTTGGAGAATGTGCACAGATTGTAGAGCTATTAATAACATAACTGTAAAATATAGGCATCCAATCCCTAGACTAAATGATATGCTAGATGAGTTGCATGGAGTACTCATATTCTCTAAAATTGATCTTAAAAGTGGTTATCACCAAATAAGGATTAAAGAATGGGATGAATGAAAAATATCTTTTAAGACTAAGTTTGGATTGTATGAATGGTTAGTCATGCCTTTTGGTTTCACCAATGCTCCTAGCACCTTTATGGGGTTAATAAAAGAAAGATTTTATTGGCCATACATGAGAGTAAATGTTCAAATGTATTGCTCTAAATGCATAGCTTGTTTACAAGTTAAATCTAAATTTATGCCTCATTGACTCTACACACCTCTACCAATAGTTAGAACCCCTTGAGTTGACATAAGCATGGATTTTATACTTGGTCTCCCAAGAACCCAAAGGGGACACAATTCTATTTTTGTGGTAGTGGACAGATTTTCAAAAATGACTCACTTTATATAATGCAACAAAATAGATGAAGCTAGCCATATCTTAAGATTTTTCTTTAAAGAAGTTGTTAGATTACATAGAATCCCTAAATACATTGATTATTTTTCAAAAATAAATGCTTTTTAGCAAGTTTCTGCAGTTTGTCCAAATACATTGATTATTTTTCTAACAACTTTTGCAACAGGTGTAAAAGCTTCGGATATTGAAAAATATTTAATTACATATTTGTTTGTGACTACCTATATGCCACCTTGATAGAGGATTTGTTCCTTGGTTAAGTTCTTACTTTCAATCACAATGTTCTAGAAAGTAGAGCTTAAAATGCCCTTATGTACTACCTTTTTTTGTGTTATTTGCAAAGATTTCTGGTTTGGTTGTTAATCTGTTTTGTCTTTGATATGAAGCAGGGAAACTGAAACCATGGATAAAATACTACCTTCCTCTCAGGTTGATAACAGACAGGGTGAAAAGCCAAAGAAGAAAAGGAAAGAACGGTCTAAGGAGGAGGTGCATCTGGTTGCTACTGATTCTTACCATAACAATCTTGTTAATCTGCACACGGTTAATGAGTGAATTTTTCTTAATTAACTTCTGTTTATAACTGGATAGTACTTGTTAGCTGTTTTTTCTTTAATAGAATAACCATGCAACATGATATATGTTTGGTAATGAAGAAGGTAAAAAATACTCTTCATGTGCTGCACATGCAACAGCAACTCACAAATCAGTCTTTTCAGCAACAGAGATACCATAATTGGTGCTTATGTTAGTAGTACAATTAGGTTGGCCATCCTAATGAAATTTTTTGAGAGAATACATGTGATTCACATTTCACAGGAATTCTGTTAGGGGCCTAAATATAGAAGAGTATGATGGAAAAGATTAGAAGAGTTTCCCCCAAATGGACCAAAAATGGACTTCTAGCCACGATAATACCCTCTATATATTCCCCTTTCCACATAATAGGCTCCCTCACCCCATAACATGTCTAATTATCCATGCACACCCTCATCTCATTATCAGACCTAACAAATTATACTCGTTGTGAAATATCCACATGCTTATACAAGTATAGCAAAGGAATTTATGGTTCCCATGGAATTTACCTCAATATAATATGCACTTGGTGCTTCATAAAATTGTGCTCTTCTGCCATCTTTCTGCAAGTTGCAAGCAACTAAGGTGTTCTTTCCCATCACTTAATATTAACCAAATTTACAAATGACTTTCAAAAATAGTCTACCATTTCACAATTGAATACTGAATGAAACCCCTTCAATGCTAAAAGAAGTAAAACTTGAGAAGAATTCTCTCTGCTTACCAATGAATTTATGCAGTTACTTTCAATGAAGATGTCATGTTGAAATTGTCCAACATTCAAAACTTCACTTTTGTTTTCTCTGCTGCCATTTCCTGTGATTTTATTTTATATTAAACTTGTGTCATCCTGTTAAAGAAAGAAAAATGAAAATTTTATATCTGATATGCTTGAGCAAATCAGCAGGGATGTTAATATTTCAGACAACGTTGCATTGCCTTCTGCTGAGTCGGATCCTAAAAAGAGTAGAACAAAGAGGAAAAAGAAAGGACAGGCAAACAACAGTGACAATGGCTTTCATGAAGATATCATCCAAGAGGACAAAGCCAACAGAGATGCAGCAGAGTCCCAGAATCTGATTCATAATTCTTTTGAAGATAAAGAGCAGCATCAGAAGCTAACTAATGAGAAGTACATGCTTTAATTCTAAAATTGAACTGGTGACAGAATTAATTTTATTAAAAAAACCTGTCAAACTAGTGAACATTGAACAAGTTTAAACATTTCCAAGACTATCTGGGTAGTTATATCAATGCTGACTGACTTGAATTGGTTCAATTTTTTTATGCTTTGTTAAAGCATCTATAAAATATCCTTGTTCCTTTTAAGTAAGAAGCAACTAACAAATAAAATTCCTATATCAAATTGAAAACAAGTTGATTTTGAATCAAGCAGTAAATCTTGCCATACTGCTCAAGGAATATATAATAGAAAGGAAGCTAAAGGGGAATAATATATAAGGAAAAACAGCAATTAATAAGGATATTGGATAAGTGCCTTGCTAGTAGTAGTTCTAATATAGGTTAAAAAAGAATAATAATTCAAAAAACTCATGATTTCATGGCAAGTTATAGAGTCACATGAGGGAATGGGTGGAGAAGAGTTCTTGTAGAGTTTTTAATAATTTAATAATTGTTTCTGTTTGGAGAATTATTGGTATTATGAGATTCGGTATGTGTTTAGGATTATGAATATATAATTAATTTGTAAAAATGATGATCTAGGAGGGAGAACGAAATTTTAGAAAAATGCCTGTGAGTTAGGTTTTGGAAAAAAAAATGGGGGTTTTACTATTTAATTTAATATTCTATTAAATTGGTGAATCAATTGGGTTTTATATTAATTTATAAATGTTATTGTTATATGATAACAATTGATGATCTAGATGTGAATTCATGGTGAATTGCTTAAGGGGTATGTGAACCACTATTTTGTTGGACTTATCTGTTGTGTGTATGTGATATGAAATTGAATTATGAGATGAGATGTATTGAATGTGAATATGATTGTAGTTCCTCACACTAATGACCAGGGATGGCACGACCCTTAGGTAAGTGATGCTACAAGGACGGTGTGACCTTAGCATAGCGTGGGATGAGTGAGGCAATTAACACGTATCACTTATGTCAGATGTGGCGTGGCCTTGGCATAGGGTTAATTGTAAGATTGGTGTGGATTATGAATGTAATTGTGGTTCCTCACACTAATGACCAGGGATGGCACGACCCTTGGATAAGTGATGCTACAAGGACGGCGTGACCTTGGCATAGTGTGGGATGAGTGAGGCAATTAACTCGTATCACTTATGTCAGTTGTGGCATGGCCTTGGCATACTGTTAATCATAAGATTTGTGTGGATTATGAATGTGAAAATGATAGTGTTAATTGCAATATTTGTGATGGATTGGTGTGATTGCGAATTATGACATGAAGATGATGCATGATTGATAGAGTTATGATATATAGAAATGCTTGTGAATATTTTATCACCGTACAATTTGTGGATGTTTTAAGTGAGGAAGATCCGACTATGAGTGGCATCTAGAATGCCAACATTTGAATTATGGGTATGCTCTGATATTGTGACATCGGGGCAGAGGATTTATAGGACATGGATTTTATTTGTATATGGAGTTGTACTTATTATTTTGAAAATATTTTGTAACCTCATGTTTTATTTTCCAAGTTTCATTTTCAAAATATTTTGGATATTGAAGAATGTTTCTAAAGGTTTTTATGTGAACCCTTTTACCGATGTTGAAAAATTTATTTCCTTAGTTTATTTACATTATTACAATATATGTGTTGGGGTAGTAAGGGTGTCACAAGAACAAGTTCACATTTGGCAATGTATTATACACAAAACGTGGACTTCTCTGATGCTTAAATGGAATCACGTGCAAGCTTAGTCTCTAAATCCGTCACTAATGCTTTGTTTTTTTTTTTTTTAAATCAATACAAATTAAAAGAAACTCCAAATTACCTCCACGGATTTGATTAAGTGCAACAGCCACAAAGTTTCCAACAACAAAAGTGTTTGGTGTTTGATTTTTGGTAGCCAATCCGAGAGCTCTCTTTGTCACCTTCCTCCTCCTTTTCTTAGTCCTCTTTTGATGACCCTTGTAGAACTAGCTTCTATGGAGATAGACTAGGTCAAAAACTAGGCCACACTTTGAGTAAAAGAGGAACACAAACAGCCAAGAGAATTGATATGTAACCAAGACAAGAATGGAGTATAAAAGGAGACAATATAGATGAGTAAAAAACAAGGAATTGGCTAGAACAAGAAGGAATTAACATAGATAGGTCCTAGAATTGAATAACAAATCAAAACACTCAAAATTTGCAAGCTGAAAAATGTATTACACAAATGATGCAATGTCAAACCGAGAAGAACATTGAAAATCTAGTTGGGGCCAGATAGAATAGCTATCTGGGTTTGATAGATCTCGTTTTTCTACTCAAAATGCATATAATGAATGTTTAATTCTGATAACTAGAGCAAAAGTTATGGCCGTTTGAAGTTTTGCTGAAAACTAGTTTGAAAAATTTTTGTATCTTCAAATCTGGACCACCTTGAGGGCCTCTGGTATTTTTCACACAAAATATGGGTTGAAAGAAGTTACCACACAAATTTGAGGCAAAAATAACAAGTCTAGCTATCAAAACCAAAAATCCCAATTAATTGGCAAAATTGGATACTATTCATCACTATTCACGCGCACATGAAATTGCAACATTTCAACAACTTGGACCCGATTTTCATACCCCAAACAAAGGAGTAGTAGACAGCGAAAACAGAGCAAAAATGCACCAAAAACAGAGCCAAAACGCACCAAACACACACCAAACATGCACCAGAAACGCACCGACATGCACCAAAAACAGAGTTACCCTACTAACTCACTACACTTCACAATTAACACACGAATAGAGACACACTCACATTCACAACCACGAACACGAACACGAACATAACACAACACACACTATATTATGAACCTTTGGCTGGAGCGTTACTCCCTAGCAATGACGCCAAATTTGACCGGTGTTGTACCCGATCAAATTTTATGAAATTTGTAGTACTAGGAAGCGACTCCTACGTCGTCTCTCAAGGAGCAACAAGCCAGTCCGAGGTTCTTATGATGCAAACACGAATACACACACTATGGGGGGAAATTTAGATTCAAATAAATAAACACGTGAACAGTAATCAATGAAACAATGTATTCTCCAACTCAGTTATAACACACAAATCATTGGTTCAAAATATCATCTTCTATCATTTTAAACCTTGGTTCAGTTCTAGTAATCACTAAACGTCATTACCATTAATTGAATGCACACAAATAAAGCATTAGCATACATTCATTTCTCTATTTCATGGGATTAAGCAAACCATGAGCAGAACATTTGGTCTAGTTGAACGAATACCATTAAGCATGGAAAAAACAAGGTTTAGAACACGAAAATGCAATGAAACAAACAAACCTCAATGAGCATTAAACTGAGTTAGAAAATATTACAGTTTAGCCTTCCATGGAGGAAGACAACAAGAAGAAAACGAAATGAGAAATGGAAGAAGAGGAAGAAAACGAAATGCAAAAGGAAACAAACTACAGAAAAGTGAGTCTCCAAAAATGGCTTCCTTCAAAACTCGTCCAAGAGCCAAAAAGGGAGTGGCGGCTGTGTCCCCTTTGTCCCCCTAGGCTGACCTAAATAAATTGACCTAGGTTCCCTACGAACTTTTGAATTCGGGTCCAACTATTGGGTTGACCCAGTTGATCAATTACACACCAAAAACGAAATAGAAAACTAAAATAAAAACTATGCTGAAGTTGGTCCACATGCATGGCAAGTCCATGTGACAGTGCTCCTAGTCCAATAAGTGCTTCCAAGTTCTTTGCAAAAAATGATTATGAAATTAATTAGGCTAATAAATCCAATTAAATGAAGTTCTAGATTAATAGCCCAATAAACCTTAAAACAATAAAATATGGCAAGAGAAAACAATTAGGCACTAACAATATTTAATGGGAGATTACAAAGGTAAGAAAATGCACGAAAATTATGATTTATCAACTTTCTCATGTTATTTTCTTATAAATTCAGTCCTAGATACTCCTTCTTTGTGGTACAAGGAAGTAGTATTAGGGAGTGGGAGCAAGTCAAGAGGGGTAAGGGGATTAAAGTCATATACAACTTCAAAAGGAGATAGGTTAGTAATATTGTGGACTACTCTAATTATAAGCAAACTCTATGTGGGGGAGGCATTCATCCCAAGTTTTCTTGTTCGCTTTTAAAATGACCCTCAAAAATGTGGATAAGGACCTATTCACTATTTCGGTTTGTCCATCGGTTTGTGGGTGCCAAGTAGTGGAATAGACAAGCTTTATTCCTAGTTTTTCCCAATGAATTTTCCAAAAGTGACTAAGGAACTTAGCATCCCTATCGGACACAATAATCTTGGGTAACCCATGCAAACGGACCACCTCTTTGAAGAAAAGTTTAACAATATAACTAACATCATCTACTTTGTGGCATGGTATAAAATGAGCCATTTTTCTAAAACGATCCGCAACCACAAAGATAGAATCAAAATCCCTTTGGGTCCTTAGGAGACCAAGCACAAAATCCATACTAATGTCAACCCAAGGGGAGCTAGCTATAGGAAGAAAGGTGTAGAGTCCATGAGGCATTACTCTTGATTTTGCTTAAAGGCAAGTGATACACCTGGAGCAATGCCTTTGAACGTCCACTCTCATGTGTGGCCAATAAAATTTAGATTTCAAAAGGTTTAGGGTTTTATCAATCCCAAAATGGTCCATGAGACCTCCCTCGTGACTTTTCTTAACCAAAAGCTTTCTAATGGATCCTTCGGGTATACAAAGTTTTCCCATTTTAAAAAGGTACCCCTCAAGAAGATAGAACCCATCAAAAGGCTTTTAAAGGCATTTGGTGAAGGTGGATTGGAAATCTTGATCATCCTCATACAACTCCTTTATATTATCAAAACCAAGAATTTGAGACCCCAAGGAAAAGAGTAATGAGTGCTTGCAAGATAAAGCATCTGCCACCACATTATTCTTTCCCTTCTTGTATTTGATAATATAAGGGAATTGCTCAAGATATTCAACCCACTTGGCATGTCTTTTGTTTAACTTCCCTTGCCCTCTAATGTACTTAAGTGACTCATGGTCGGTGTGTATGATGAATTCCCTAGTCACTAAGTAATGCTCCCAAACTTGGAGGGCTCTAATAAGGGCATAAAGCTCTTTGTCATAGATGGGATAATTCAAGGTGGCCCCATGAAGTTTTTCACTAAAGTAAGCAATGGGCTAGCCTCCTTAAAGTAACATGGCACCTATGCCAAAACTGGATGCATCACATTCTAGCTCAAAGGTTTGAGCAAAGTTTGGGAGGGCTAGAATGGGTGCATTGGTGAGCTTTTCCTTAAGATCATTGAAAGCTTTTTCTTGGGCTTCACCCCAAATGAAAGGAACATCCTTCTTAACAAGCTCATTAAGAGGGGATGCAAGTGTGGAGAAGTCTTTCACAAATCTTCTATAGAAGCTTGCCAAACCATGGAAGCTCCTCACATCTCCCACACTTTTTAAGGTGGGCCAATCTCGGACGGATTTTATTTTCTCGAGGTCAACTTGCAGTCCCTCTTTGCCAACTATAAAGCCCAAAAAGTTCACATTCTCTTTACAAAAGGTGCATTTTTCCAAGTTGGCATAAAGGTGGTTGTCCTTATGAATTATTAAGACTTCTCTTAGATGTCCAAGATGCTCATATACGGATTTGCTAAAAACTAGAATGTCATCAAAATAAACAACTACAAATTTTCCTATGCAATCTCTAAGTACATGATTCATTAGACGCATGAAGGTGCCAGGGGCATTGGTGAGACCAAGAGGCATCACTAACCATTCACAAACCAAACTTGGTTTTAAAAGCGATTTTCCATTCATCACCCTCTTTGATTCTAATTTGGTGATAACCACTCTTAAGATCAATTTTGGAGAATATGATGGCCCATGTAACTCATCTAACATATCATCTAACCTAAGGATTGGGTGCCTATATTTTATGGTGATGTTATTGATGGCTCTACAATTCGTGCACATCCTCCATTTTCCATCCTTCTTAGGCACCAAAAGAACGATGACGACACAAGGGCTAAGGCTCTTTTGAACCCATCCCTTCTTCAACAAGTCCTCAACTTGAGTTTCTATCTTTTTGGTTTCTTGGGGATTAGTCCTATAGGCGGGCCTATTTGGTCGACTTGCTCCCGGAATGAGGTCTATTTGATGTTCTATTCCTCTTAAAAGTGGAAGTCCACTTAGAACCTCTTAAAGGAATAGATCATCAAATTCTTTCAAAAGTATTTGGACCTCTTGAGGTAGAGACTCAAGTTCATGACTAGTGGTCGTGAGTGTCTCTTTGAAACAAAGAAGGTATAAAGGTTGTTCAAGCAAGAGTGTTTTCTTAATATTATTTTTGAGAGATAAGTGACTCTTGTGAACAACTTCTTTAGAGGGGACTTTTGAGTAAAAATCAATTCTTCACATTTTTCACTTCAATTCTTTTCAAATCAATTTGAAACATAATTCATGTTATTCTTGATCATCAACTTAAACGAAGATTATAAAATGACATATTGATTTAACACTAATCACAAAGCTTAAACATATACAAAGCAAAAATAACCAATACAAGTTGCACTCTTAACAAGAGACTCATTAGGTACACATTTGTAATCATCAAAACTCTTAGATTTGAGCTTAATCTTTATCAACGATAAACACATCATGAACACACTTTAACAGACAACTCAAAACACTTGACACATGGGCTCTTATACTTTTAATTCGATATGCATGTGAAGCCATTAATTCTTAACTTTAGAATGCACATATAAGGTAGCCTAAAAATACATGAAAACAATATTCCCACACAATAGGTAAACAACACACCCATACTCTCTCTAGGAGGAGGTTTCATTAGGAGTAAGTCAGAGTTTCATATATGGGCATGTTACTGCTTATTACATGTGCTACAAGATGCTCCTTACTATTAAAACTCTCAAGGCAAAGCTAAAAGACAATAAATACTTCATATCTAAATTTACAAACTGATACCTCTAAGAAAAAAACAAATGCATGAACTATAACATAACGCAACACACAAATGACATGGAGCTAGACTTAACCTGACAAGCCACCTATTAATCCAGGCCAATTTTAATAGTTGTATATAAAGGGTGAAGAAGAGATTTTAAGTGGGAAAAAAAAAGAGATTTTCATATATAAAAATCTAAAAAAAACTAAGATATATTTACAATCTCTTGAAATCTCACCACTAACTATAATTTAATTTTTTTTCCTTTATAATTTTAAAACTATTTTATAAAATAATTTTAAAAAATTAGGTTAAATTGCACTTTTAATCTTCTTATAATATAAATTCGTAATTTTAGTTCCATTATTTTTAATTTCACAATTTTAATCCTCTAATATTTAAAAAATACGATAAAAATAAGAATTAAAAGCATAAATTAATCTAAATATTATTAAATATTAATCAAGGGATTATTTATAATAGATCATAATCAATGTTATAATTTTAACGATTAACTAATAAATAAAAAAGATTAAAATTGATAATTTTACAGAATTGAGAGACTAAAATTACATAATTACAAATAAAAACTAAAATTACATATTTGATATAGTAGAGAAATCAAAAGTAAAACTGCTTAAAAAAAATTAAGAAACCAACAGAATCATAGAATAAGTACCAAATGAAAAAGAATACAAATATTTTCTCTTCCCGCCACACTTTGGATATTTCTCTCTCTCCGCGCAACCAAATGCTTGAACTTCCCCACGCGACAGTTTCCTTCTTCCCCTTTCTCTATGACGTGAGTTACTGAGGTAAACCCAATCCCTAATTTAGAGCTACACCCTCCACTTCTTCACTAATTCCCAAATTGCTTATTTTGCTGTCCATTTTTCACTCTTCACAAACCCTAACCGTGGTTCTCCCTTCTCAGCGCATTTTCCCCGTGTCAGAATCTTCATTAGGGTTTGTGAAAGAATCATGTCGAGCGCGTTAAGCTGGAGACACCATGTCGTGATTCAAGCTCTGTTGTCACGAGGCCCGCTCATGGAGAAGGACTTGCACTCCATGTTTGAAGAACTCACCCAGAGAAACCCAGGTTTTTGTTTTCTCTGAATTTGTTATTCCCTTTTATTTTTATTTTCTTTTATTGTGTTTTAACAACTGTAATTAGGGCTTTTGGCTCCTGGTGGGGCTCCAAGGCATCCTTACTAACTTAATCCTTGATTTGGGACTCATCACAAGTTTTTTGTTCCTTCCCAGAAATGTGTTGTGTGAGAATTGAACCTAGGTCTTTCTCCATGAGCTCAGCGGGTGTTGCCAATTACCAATAGGGTTTCCATTTTCTTGTTGCAAAATTGTATTTTATTTATTTATTTATTTCTAAGTTAGTTTGAAGTTAGGCGGCGTTAGGAGGAATGTTTTTACTTTTAATCTGAAGTTGAGAATGATAGTTTTTTAAGTTTGGTTTATCTTCTAAAAAATAATATTCTTAGGGAACATGGTTTCCTGCGAATGAATGTTTTCCATACAATTTCTCACCAAATTGTTCCCATGGAGAGGTGAGAATCTAACATTCCTGAGTTAAAATGAATATCTTATTGTGTTAAAAATATTATGTTACCTTAGTTTGCTTAGTTATTACAGTAAAATATTTTGATTCGGTAACATTTATAATCATTCCCATGAAAAATGTTTCCTACTACCAAACACTCCCTTGGGTTCTAATTGATTATTGAGTCAACATTGAGGAAGGATGAACATTGAAGGTGAAAGGTGACATGATTTGAATTGAATTTGAATATTGGTTGCAAATAAATACTTTATTTTTGAAAATAGAAATTGGGTGTTTGTGTTTCATTTGTCCTTGATGGGTTTTTATTGTGACCTTGACTTGACTGTGCTTGTCTTTGCTAGGCACTGATCCACAACTGTTTGATGGTTTTATTCTGAAAATAAACAAGGCGCTTAGTTTTGCTAATTTTGAGTTGCGTGCCTGCATAGATCAATATGATGGTCAAGTTTATTATGGGGTGGTGAATACTGTTTCAGATGAACATTCCAAGTTTGGCACGAAGTATACTGTTCCTCAAATTGCCTTTTATAAGGCCATTGTAAGTTTTGCTTTACTTGCTTGTGTTTTTTTGTCTGTTGGTGTACATATGTGAATATGTACTAGGCTTTACAAATTGGTTTGTGTAATGCTTTTAGTTTTTGCGGTTCTCAGTGTCTTCCAGTTGTGCATGTGTGTTTGTCACTGGGTGTATAGTGTGATTTCTTTGAAATTAGAGAAATATTTCTCTAAATGCCTGGTATTTTGACACCTGAAACAAATAATCTTATGTTCTGTAAATGGAAAACAACAGATTGAAGCAATAGTACAAGATGCCTCTGCAAACGGTGTTATCTCCAGCATTCGTGCTCTCAATCTTAGTTTGGATGGTCAGGTTATAATATTTCACCTACCTACACTTTTATACTCATCAAAAATTGAATCTTGTTTTAATATGCTGGTATTGAGTGTGTGTGAAGTACTATCAAAAAATATCAAAGTGAAATTTTAAAATTTATCAATAAGTTAGATCAGTGAGAATATTTTAGTTTTTGACAGATGGTTAGGGCTAAATAGCCAAGATTAGTAAGTATATCATTATTTGTGGATGCAATCAATTTGTAAACTGCAACTTGTGTTATGACATGATAACCATCTTTTTTCTTTGGAACTTTGCCAACTCTCATTTGCTATAATTGAATTCCACAACCTCCACCTTGCTCATTCTAAATCAATGACAATGACTGAATACAAATTTGGAACAGATGGAAATAGGATTAAATCACAATAAAATTATGGAAAGTTCAACAATTTCTTGCTGTCCCGGATTTCAGAAACTCCTACAGATTATCTTTATCTAGAAAAACTATTAAACACGAAATAATTTTCCCCTGATTATAACACTACCTCATCAATACAAACGAGAATACATAATATTTCCTCACAGAAATTAAACCTGCTGTTATTATTTAAATTAGTTCCTAACATGGCAGTTATTGAAATGCAGTAATTATTAAAACTAAGTCCTATATTTCCTAGGGTAGAATTTGATTATAAAGCCTCACTTCAGTGCTTAAGTTTAGAATTTACTCATTCTTGCAACAATAAGGACTATGCCATTTGGAAAATGCATGCATTGAGGCACTATTCTCTTTCTTGTTCCTTGTTCCGAAGTCCAATAAAATGGTAGACAGGTATAGACTCAAACTTGAACTTTGGTGCAAACATATTGTTATAAAAAGCTTATGTTCAACTTCATGAATTTGCATGCATATATATTTTAAAGTTTGAATTCATGCAATACTAACTCCATTATTATGTAGAGCCTTCCTCCGAACTTGTGTTGTTTTGGTCACATATTGTAGGCCTTTTTCTAAGAATCTAAATCATCGAAGACCATTTGCGTTGCAGGTCTTATGGATTACATTTTAAATTTCCATCAAAACCTATAGTAGATATATCATCTCTGTGATGTAAAACCAAATAGATTGTGTGATGCAAGTCTTTTATCTTAATATATAATCATTAATTTCTTACTTCAGTTTCATTGTTTGACTCAAGCTAAGTTATACCTTCTCACCTAAACACATCCAAAATTCAATATACATGTCATCTGATCCAACTAGTTTACCATTTTTCATCATCTTTAGCGCTTATTTTACCTGTTTGTATAGTTTTGTTGCAATGAAATTTATTAGCTTGGTCATTTTTGTAGTGGTTAAACTCTCTAAAGACTGTTGTTTCTGTTTTTTTTTTAATTTTTTTTTTGTTAGAGTATTGAAAACACTAGTCATATTTTTCTAGTGTATTATATGATTTGCAGTCCACCCTCCCCCAAACCACCACCACCACAAAAAAAGTAAAACTGTCTATATCTATATACACAGTTGGAGAATAAGGTACACATTTTGGATTGCAGGTTGATTATGATATACACATGAAGAACATGACAATTTGATCTACTCGTAGAAAGATTTTGCCCTTTCCATTGTGATGGGAATGTTTCAGGATATTTTGAGATAAATGATACTGATCACAAAATTAAAATATATTTATTCCTTAATGTATTGTAAATGTAGACTAAAATGCTCAAATTTCATGTTCTATGTTCAGGTTACAGTTGCGTCAGATCCACAATCTCAAGGAGGCCAGCCAAATGTCCCATCATCATTGAAGAATTTCAGTTTGTCTCAAAAGGAAAAAACCCTGCAAGAACTAGTGCGGGACCAGTGGCTTAACTTAACAACAGATGGTATTATTAAACTTGGTTTGAAGTCATTCCTTGATCTTCGCAGTTGGTTCCGGAACAATGATGTTACATCCTGTCATGTATGCAATGAAGCTGGAATAAAGGTTGTTCTTGTTCCTGTTGCATTGTGATAGTCTTCCCTTTTTCTTTTTCTTTTTTTTTTTTTTTCTAAATTTTGTTTAACCATCAATGGTTGTGAACTTGTGATTATTTTGAATCAGCATTGGGCTTTTGTTTTACAATATCTATGGGATTTAAATGTTTGGTAATATGCCATGCAAGTTTCATGGAAAATTTTGAATAAAGTTATGTATTGATCAGATTTGAAGACCATTAATAGCCTGTTATGTTTGGCGTTTTATGAATACAATGTGTTAATTCAGAAGCAAGAAAAACTATCTTCTACGTGTTTTCTAAATATTTGATGCGGAAATTTTATTATATGCACATCTGAGACTTAAACAAACACACACTAACAAATTGAGTGCTTTTGTTAAATTACATACACACCAACAATTCAATTTTCTCCACATTTTATGATGTAATATAATTCCTTTTGTCTAATTACCTTGCTTGTGGAGGCATTGGGAACCCAAGACAAAAAAATAATCACTAGATTTTGTTAATATTAGAAGGAACAGAAGTGGAAAAATTGAAATATGCAGATAGCATCAGTTGTACTTGTAAGTTATAACACATTGCTGCTGTGTTTGAATCTAACAATTCATTACTCAATGTCTGACAGGCAGAGTTATGCCAAAATGAAAACTGTACTGTACGGATTCATCAGTACTGCCTGAAGCAACTTTTCTTGCAGAGAAAGGTATTAGTCTTGTTTCATTTTTATGATGTTAGAAATATGGAGTTTCTGACAATGTTACTACTACCAACTGGCATTTAGGTTGCAAAAGTTTGCCCAACTTGTGGCACTGGATGGCCATATACGGTACCCCAGGCAGAGGCCGTGCAGACTGAAGATGACAATGAACCTAGAGGAAGCCAACAAGTGACTAGTTCTGAACGAAAGAGGCATAGAGCCAATAGGGTTGTTGATGATGATGTTGGATGCAGCAATCAGGATGAGCTGAATGATGGTAGAGAAAGCCAGCATGGTAATGGATTGGTACGGAAAAGGGGCAGAGCACGCAGAACTGAGGATGCAGATACAGGAGGTTCTGGTGCATCTCAATCTTCGGCAGCTATTTCTGGTTCGAGAAGAGTAACTAGAAACTCTGCTCGTCTGACGTAAATCAACAACGGTGCCTTCTTTTACTGCTGCTAGGTATATTTTGCTGCTGACTGTTGTAATTTAAGCTGAACTTTTGTGGATATGTGAATGGGTTCTTTAGTAATGCAGTTAGCTAGTTTTAGTGACTATTTCTTAATCAGCAATCGTGTTATGTTAGGTTGACCTGTGGCTTGAAACGCCAACCTTCTAGTTCAGAATACCAACATGTAAATTTGTGTTAGTGTCAAAGGATCATATTAGAGTCATTTTGAGGTAGTGACATTATTATTTTGCTCAGCTTTGATATTTAATTGTTTTTTATAACCGTGTTTTGATTGTTGTGCTTCTTTAATCATGACATTATTTTTATTATAAACTTGCTCATGATACTATCTGTTTGGCTTTGTATCAAACTAGACAGCTATAAGATGTCTAATTTCAGTCATTTGTTATTAAGATTTTTACATGTTGAATTAGTTTACTTTAAAATATCAATGCTTGTACGAAAAAGTTAATAAAGCAAAGTAAAATCTAAATTCATTGCAGGGAAATTTGGCAGCATGGTAAATTTGAGCGTTTATCCTTTATTAAATAAAAGTCAAACTCGAGTAGTGAACAAGTTCATGAATCATGAAACAATTATATTTTGTCTATGAAAAATGCTCCATCGTCCGAAAGAAGTCTCCAAAATTTCTTCCGAATTATTAAAAAATTGATTTAAATAATAAAATATTAAATTAAATAATTATTGTATAATAAATTTATTTAAAAATTAATATTTTAATAATTTAGACGTTGATTTGGAATATGTTTTGACTTGTATAGCAGTGTTCTTTGTCTATTGACGAAAAAAAAATTGAGATGTTATTTTAGTCTATAAATATGGTTTGTGCAATGTTTGCATATAATCAAAGATTTATTTATTTTCGTAAGATGTGATTTTTGCTAATCAAATATTATTTTAAAAAGATTAATCAAAATAATTGTTCTACTTAGGTTGTATTTGGCACAAAGGAAAGAAATAGTGAGTAAAAAAGTGGATAGTAATAAAAAAAAAAATAGGTGAATAGAAATGTGAAATATAAAGTATAAATAGAAGTGTTTGGTTTAAAAGAAATAGAAATGAGAAATAAAATTTATTTTTAAAATTAAATCTTAATATAATTTTTATTATAATCAACTAAATTAAAATTTTAATCATTTAAAAAGTTTTTTTTTTATATAATGATTATATGTTATTAATGTAAAGTAATTTACACTTAGACATGACAATTAAATTTGTATCCATAACCTAAACTCGATTTTAACAGAGAAAACTTGCTTTGATTGATTATATTTTTTTTCGACTTGAAAAATTAGGTCCCGGTGTAGATTCGAATATATAACTCCATGTCTTGTCCTTATATTTGTCTCACTGTATTAATTAAATTTATATTTATAATTTATTTGAAATCTATCATTAACATTATTTTTAAGATAATTATTAAAAAATTAATAAATTTATCATAAAGGTGATTTGTAATTAGATAATGGTTTACAATTTGTAATTAGATAATAGTTTACACTATTAATACATAGCATTTTTTTTATTTAATCAATTAAATATTTGATCAATTAATTAAATCAAAAGAATTAAATGAAATCAAGTATTTCTTTAGTTTTAAAATACTTACAGTTCTAATATTTAAAAAAAATCTAAAATAACAATGTTTTTAGTTTTTATTGTAATATTGATTTTTTTTCTTCTGATTTGGCCCTATGTAAATTATATCAATACTAATGTATTTTCACATAAATTAATTTTTATTCTTAATTTATGTGTGTATTACTATCATTTTAAAGACAAAGAATAAGAGGAGAAGATTTAATAGTTTATGTTATAATCCATTAGATTCTTCGCAACAAATAATTTAATCGACTCGAATTTTGACTGTGAGAGAAATGATGAGCAAATCACCATCAAATCAATGTTGATGGTTTTTTTTTATGTTATTTGTTTGACATTATATTTTATAAAAGTTATTTTTATAAAATTATTTTACATATAATTTCATAATGATGAAATATTATTCGCTTTAGACTAAAATCTTCACGATTATGCTTTTAATCATCACCCAAAAACCTTATCAATCATTAGAATATATGTGTACTTTATAAGTTATTATTTCTTCTCTTATTTTATTGAATTATTATTACTAATTTATACTCTTCATCTTCATCTTTGATAAAACAATGTGATTTTTTTTAAAGGAAGAATCCATATCCTTCATATAATATTAACAATTTAAGAGAACACAAATAGAATATTTTTACACGTGTCGTTTCAAGAGCAATTCCAAAAATCCTGGTCTATTTTCAACTTCAAGCCTATAAAGGAAACAAAGGAAAGATAAATTGTTAAAAAATACAAACACTACACACAGCTAAACAAATACTCAACGACTAACAATTTGTGGCCCACCTTTAATTGGCTCATCATGCAAGGCCTATATTGACCTGTGTAAATATCCCAATAACAAAATTGAAATCCGGTTAAAAAATAAGTGTTTCAAATGTATACTGTATGGTGGCCGACTCGCCCGAATACCCGAGAACGTTACTTATGCCGAGCACCCGAACCTGCCAACCACCCCCAGATGGGACGAAACGTGTCGGCGGAGTCGGCCGAGTATGTCGGCATCATCAAGATGGTTATGGAGAGCTTCATTAACATAATGCATAAGATTAGACCCCTAATTTTCCGGGGCCCAATCCTTAATTGCGGCCCAATAAGAACTACTATAAATAGGACCCCAACGAGGTATGTAATTAATTTTGAACTACCGCATTTATTACGCCGAGCACTAACTTGAGCGTCGGAGTGTCTTTGCAGGCACACCCACCCCAGACTTCGGATTACCCGGATAGGAACGAGAAGACCGAGACCCAGGATCAGACTCGCTACAACAAGGATAGTTAGTGTGTATCCTAACACAGGAACATTTGGCGCCCACCGTGGGACCGAAGAGACGCTTCAGCCCTGTTGAACTCTACGACTGAGACCGAGATATGGTAGTGACGCGAAAAGGACAATCAACAATGACTCAACCGATACCTAACCCCGAAAGTAACCCCGTTATGACCAATCAAGAGCGTTACCCGTATGGAATGCCTCAAACCGAGCCAGAACCGGTGATACAAGAGGTCCGGCTGAACACTAACCGAGACCAACCTGATCTCCATGATGACTTGCGTGCATTGCGCGAGGAAATGGAAGCTATCCGAAGGCAGAGAGAGGCCGATGCAAGGGAGTTGGCCGAACTGCGCCGACAAAACGCCGAACTCCGAAGCCTTAACCAAACATATGTGCCGTCAACCCCTACTCTTCAGGAGGAGTCGACATATCATGCCCCGACCGACCATGTGACCCGAACCCCGGTCACCTCGTTGATAGCTAACAAGGCCGACACCACCACTCACTCCCTAAGACATCCTTTTTCCCGGAGAATAATGGAGGCAACCCTGCTAGACCATTGGAAAAGTATGCCGATTGAGAAGTACGACGGGTCATCCGACCCCGAGGAACATTTGAACGTGTTCTTGACGCAAGCGACCCTCTCCACTCAGGACGACTCGGCTTTGTGCCGAATATTTCCCACGTCGCTGAAGGGAAGAGCTTTGAGTTGGTTGACGAGGTTGCCGAGCGCCTCCATTGACTCGTTTGGCGAGTTGTCATCCCAGTTTACCCTACAGTTTGCAACGAGCAAGCCATACAAGACGACCTCTTTAGCCTTGGCGGGGGTCCGTCAGGAGAAGAAGGAAAGCTTGAGAAGCTTCATGGACAGATTCAATAAGATTGCAATGGAGATTGGAGACCTCAATCCCGCCGTGGCATTGGACCGGCTAAGTACAGCCCTCAGGCCGGGACCGTTTGTAAACAGCTTGTGTAAGAAGCCCCCAGTTGATATGAACGACCTCCGGCGCCGAGCTGAGAAGTACATGCAAATGGAAGAGCTTGCGGAGACCCGAAACCTGGCCAGGGTCGAAGAAAACTATAGTCGGAAAGAATCTGGCCGAGAGCAAGTGAAAAGGGTGAATGTCAAGCCCTCGAATACTCGCCCCCCAAGAGGACCTCGCTACGCAGCTTATACTCCCCTTAATGCGAGTAGAGCCAAAGTGATGGAGCAGGCCCTCACATCAGAAATCCTTGCGATGCCGAAAAGGGCGAACACACCCCCCAGGGCCGACAAAGACAAGGCGTGCCGATTCCACCGAAACAGGGGGCATTCCACTGAAGAATGTTCCGCGCTGAAGGACAAGCTCGAGGACCTTATCAAACAGGGTCACCTCAGAAGCTTTATCACCACTCAAGACCATCATCTAAGGTAAAGAGACCCCCACTCGCGTGAAAATCGTCCGTCGAGAGACCGACGTCGCCGATCACGTTCGACCGAAAGACAAGATCGGTCACAACGCCCCAGGGGAGACAATGACCAACCACGGAAGGTGATCAACACGATAGCCGAAGGTTTCGCCAGAGGTGGGTCCACCTCGTCGGCGCGAAAATGACACCTCCGTTCAGTCCGGTCAATAAACAGCGTGAACCAATTGAAGATGCCCAGAATGCCACCTATAACCTTTTCCGACCGAGACTTCCATGGCATTGACCCCATACAGGACGACCCCATGGTGATTTCGGTCGAAATGCACAACCGCATTGTGAAGAAAACGTTGGTCGACCAGGGGAGCTCGGCCGACATCTTATACTGGAATACTTTTGTACAGCTCGGAATCCCGGAGGAAAGCTTAGAGCCATACCATGAGCCACTGGTCATCTTCTCAGGTGAAAGGGTGATGACAAGGGGATGCATCGACCTATATACCCGCTTCGGGTTCGACCAAAAACCTTTCCGGGAGGTCAAAGTCCGCTACATTGTGGTGCACGCAAATACATCGTACAACATTCTTCTAGGCCGACCATCAATCAATGCTTTAGGGGCGATTGTCGCGACCCCCCACCTGTGCATGAAGTTTCCGTCGAGAGATGGGCAAGTGATAACCGTGCATGCCGATCAAAAAGCAGTAAGAGAATGCTATCTCTCTAGCCTAAAGGTACAACCACTGGCCGATCCTCCAAACATGAAGGGTGTGAACGTAGTAAGGCAACAGACGACGGAGGACATCGACCTTGACCCCCGGCTGGGTGAAGAAGAACGAATCGAACCGGCCGAGGACCTCATGCCTTTTCAACTGGGAAAAACACCTGAACAAATAACAAACAAGGGATCTCAATTGAGCGGGGCTGACTCAAACCGAGTCGAGCGTGTAGTCAGGGACAACCGAGACCTCTTCGCGTGGACGACATCAGACATGCCAGGAATAGACCCCAAGTTTCTCTGCCACCGACTAGCTGTATGCCGAGATGCACGACCAGTCGCCCAAAAGAAAAGAAAGATGGGAGATGAGAAGCGAAGCGCCGTGAATGCCGACGACGTGGCTAGCAAACGTAGTTCTGGTCAAAAAGTCGAACGGAAAGTGGAGAATGTGTACCAACTACACCAACCTCAACAAAGCCTGCCCCAAGGACGCCTATCCGCTCCCTTGCATCGACCGACTTGTCGACGGAGCATCCGGGCATTCTATATTCAGCTTTCTTGACGCCTATTCCGGTTACAATCAAATAAGGATGCACCCGTCCGACGAGGAGAAGACGGCGTTCATCACCGAGAACGCCAACTTTTGTTACCGAGTCATGCCATTTGGACTGAAGAACGCCGGGGCGACCTATCAGAGGTTAATGAATAAAGTGTTCCAGAAGCAGATCGGCCGAAACATCGAAATTTATGTAGACGATATGGTGGTCAAGTCCAATTCCATCGCCGAGCACATATCAGACTTAACCGAAATCTTCGGCGCACTCCGCAAGCACAATATGAGGCTCAACCCCGAGAAGTGCACCTTCGGGGTAAAAGGAGGCAAATTCCTAGGTTTCATGCTATCAGTAAGAGGCATAGAAGCAAACTGAGACAAATGCCAGGCCGTGATAGACATGCGAAGCCCGAGCAATCTCAAGGAATTGCAACGTCTTTCAGGAAGATTAGTCGCCTTATCCCGATTTGTCCCACGCCTGGGTGACAAGATTAGCCCAATGACGAAACTCTTGCGGAAGGCCTCGGCCTTCTCGTGGAACGAACCATGCGAAGAGGCCTTCGAGGCGCTGAAAGCAACCTTGGCTACGCCGCCGATCCTAACGAGACCTAATCCCTCGAGCCCACTCTTAGTGTATTTGGCCGTATCTGCCGAGGCGATCAGCTCGATCCTGGTGCAAGAAAAGGAAGGCACCCAAACTCCCATATATTTTGTCAGCCGACTCTTGCAAGATTCTGAGACCCGGTACCAGCTGATAGAAAAGGTTGTGCTCGGATTAGTGCACACCTCACGACGCTTGCGGCACTATTTCCAAAGCCACCGGGTAGTGGTTCACACCGATTGCCCGATCTCAAAGGTCTTGGGCAAGCCCGAGCTCGCCGGAAGAATGATGGCTTGGTCGGTGGAGCTCTCGCAATTCGACATAACTTTCAAACCAAGAGGGCCGATCAAAGCTCAGTGCCTGGTCGACTTTGTGAACGAGCTCCACCCCCATGGTCATTTCGAGGAGCAATGGTGGACCCTCCATGTGGATGGTTCGTCAAATTGCCGAGGAAGCGGAGCGGGTGTAATTCTGGAGGGACCCAAGGGGATAGTTTTGGAACAATCCCTCCGCTTTCGGTTCAAGGCTTCCAACAATCAAGCCGAGTATGAAGCCTTACTGGCCAGACTGAGACTAGCCGAAGACATGGGAGCCTCGAGAGTCAAATGTTTCACCGACTCCAAAGTTGTGGCCCAGCAGGTCAGCGACAATTTCCAAGTGAAAGACCACAACATGATGAAGTACTATCATGCCTATCAAAAGTTGAAGACGAGCTTTAAGGAGGTGTCGGTCGAGCACATCCCACGCGAAGACAACACTCGAGCTGATCAGCTGGCTAGGTTGGCCGCGACTAAAAAGCCAGGCCATCTGAGAACGATAATTCAGCAAGAGATCGACCACCCTAGTGTCGATGAAATGGTCGCAAGCGTCGATGCCGGCCGTGTCGGGCAGGACGACTCCCATGATTGGCGAGCCGAAATCAGAGCGTTTCTCATAAATGGAATCGCATCGACCGATCCGACCGAGGCCAAACGGCTAAGAATCCAAGCCAGTAGATACGTTGTCATCGCCGGCCAGTTGTACAAACGCGGTTTTTCCACCCCGTTACTCAAATGCCTTAACCCCACCGAGGCTGACTACGTGATGAGAGAAGTACACGAGGGTATTTGCGGAATACATTCGGGAGCGAGGACAACCGTCTCCAAACTTTTACGAGCCAGGTACTATTGGCCGACCATGGTCACTGACTGCGCAACGTTCGTAAAAAGATGCCAACCATGTTAGAAACATGGCAACCTGATTCATCAAATGGCCGAGCAGCTACATTGCATCCCTCCAGCATGGCCATTCGCCACTTGGGGGGCCGACATACTCGGACCCTTCCCAGTTGCTAAGGGACAGTGCAAGTTCCTCATCTTCGCCGTGGATCTATTCACCAAATGGATCGAAGCCGAGCCCCTGGCATGTATCTCGGCTCATCAAGTCCAAAAATTTCTATGGAGGAATATCATCACCCGATTCGGTGTCCCACACACCCTGGTGACCGACAACGGCCTTCAATTCACCGACCGGAAACTCAACGAGTTCCTAAACGGCCTGGGAGTACAGCACAAGGTCACATCGGTCGAACATCCACAGACGAATGGTCAGGTCGAGTCGGCTAATAAAGTCATCTTAGCTGAGTTGAAGAAACGCCTTGGGGAAGCAAAGGGGGCTTGGGCCGAACAGTTACCTGAGGTACTATGGGCATACCGATGCACGCCCCAGTCGACTACACAAGAGACTCCTTTCCGTCTAGTCTACGGGACTGACGCCATGATCCCAGTGGAAATCAGGGAACCCTCGTTCTGCCGAACCCACTACGACGAGTCAAATAATGAAGCTGAGCTCCGTGTGAACCTAGACACCGCGAAAGACGTTCGAGACCGAGCACAAGTCGTGGCCGAGGCCACCAAGCAACGTTACAAAAGAAGATTTGACAACAAGGTGAAGCCAAGAGAATTCCGCGAGGGCGATCTTGTTTGGAGAGCCACAGGCGAGGCAAGGAAAGATCCGAGACATGGAAAACTCGCCCCAAATTGGGACGGACTCTTCCGAATCCGACACAACTTGAACAACGGAGCGTACAAGCTGGAGCACCTATCGGGAGAACCAATTCCGAGAACCTGGAACTCCTCTCATCTGAAAATATATTACAGCTGATGTAACAGTGCACTCTTTTCCTTGACCGACTCTTTTTTCCCTAAGGAGGGTTTTGGGTCGGCAAGGTTTTTAACGAGGCACTTCAATAATAAAAGTATTAAAATTTCATATCATTTGCATTTTTATTGCATGCTTTAGGACGAGAACCACGCCGCACACTGACGCCGAACAACTCTCGGCCGATCTCAGAAACGGTATAGTCGAGCCCTACAGGCTTCCCTCCCGAGTACCCTCCTCGGCGGACATGCCCTCCAAGTATTGCAGTCCACCCCCAGTAGCAAGATCCAAACCGACCAAATTTTCGGTCTGCACGTTCAGGGCAAGGAAATTGGAGCCGGCAACAACAGCTGGGATAGCGAAGTTGCCGCAACCCGATTGCTCCAGCGACAGCTGCTTGGCCCGCTTGGTCGAAGAGCTCGGCCGCTCCGGCTCTATATTATGCTCGGCCGCCCTCACTCGGGAGGTGCTTCCCTTCTTTTTGGGGTCAGCGACAGGAATCAGCACATGGGAAGGCTTATCTCGAGCCATCTTCAGAGCCGACCGTGCCGGGGGAACCTGCCCACTAGCCTTTGCATCTTTCGCCCTTTTCGCGAGCATGGCGGTCACGTCTAGCTTACCTCCGGCCATTAAACCTGCAACGAAGTAAATCTTAACATCAATTTAAACTGATTAAGTAACCGAATCCTAGAACGCATACCTAGCAAGGCCGTCTCAAAATGAGACGTTTCAAAAATGTCCAAAAGGCCTCGGACAGGCAAGCCTTTCGGTAGCTGATCTAACAAGTCCACGATCTCCTTGTCCTCGGCAGGGAGTTTAGACGCCGACATCGCTTCATAACGCGTCGGGCGCTTCGTCCAATAAAAGGGAAATAGCGGTTCGCCTTCTCGGTCATAAAAGCAATTCTTCATCTCCGGCCCCCAACGAACCTTGAAGAACCCATCCTTAAACCCTTTGTAGGAAGAAGTGAAGGTTCGGAGAAATCCTCGCTTCGGCACCCGAGACAATGACACCCACTTTGCCGGTTTGCTCGGGCGACTGGTATAGTAGTAAAGGAAAGCCAGGGGTCGGGGAGTCAGACCCAAACACAAGCATAGATTCCGAAATGCCTGCATCGCGGCCCAGGTATTCGGGTGCAACTGAGTCGGCGCCACGTTGAGCACTCGGAGAACCCCCATTTGAAAATCGTCAAAGGGTAGTTGAACACCGAGGTCTTCGAACCAGCACATGTAGGCGTAGAAGTATTCGTTCTCATCGTCCCCCGACTCCAAAAACACGAAATCAGTCTCCGGCCCGTCGTCCATGCATGCCTCGGCAAGTAGGGGAAACTGATCCTCCCCACTCCCGAAACAGTTCTCCAAAGAGACAAATGTGTCTAACAGCCCCTGGTCAGACAACTTCGAAAGATAAATGCCGACCTCCCCGTCGACCCACTCGTAACCAGGCATCTCCACAGTTCCGTAGTCGATCCGTGCCCTTACCCGAGTACTCGGTCCGACAGCTCTCTTGCCTCGTGCATCGCCGACCACCTCCAATTCGTCCCCGCTTATATCAACTTGCAACGCTTGCGGGTCTGACTGACCGACTCGACCGAGACCTCGGTCATCCACCTCGGTTGCCCGTGCCAAGGCCACGGCCAATGTCGTCGGAGGCGATACCTCGACCACCTCATCCCCGCTGTCCTCTTGTTCGGGGTGATCGGAAGGGAAGACAACTTCGCACTGCAGCGGAGGTAACCTCGATATTTCACTTGAAGTCGCCCCCTCTTTATCTGACGAAGCGCCCGACGCTTCCGAAGACGTCCAACTCCTCGCCGAAACGTAGCCTTTATCCATTTATTGCTAAAATTAAAGAATACAAAATTTTACCTTGCTCGGGTTGTTCGGAAGAATGTGATCTTGGGAGAGCTTGGAAAATTTACAGTGCGTAAATTTTCACGTCCAACACCCCTATTTATAAGCAAGGTAAATGGGGGGAGGTGAAAAGACGCCTCCGGGCCACAACCGTTCGATCTGCATCATCCAACGGCCCAGATTTAGTAACCGTTGGGCCTGTAACCGCTAGGGCCAACGTGGCAAGTCACACCTGCCGAGGCCTCAGTCTAAGTCACCAGTATTCGAACCCCCAGTTCAGGATCTCACGTCCAAGCCCTCGGCTCGACCTCACATGGCTAAGGCCTCGGCCTAGACCGCCTACAAAAGGCCTCGACTTGACCTCACATGGCCAAGGTCTCGGCCTAGACCGCCTGCAAAAGGCCTCGGCTCGACCTCACATGGCTAAGGTCTCGGCCTAGACCGCCTGCAAAAGGCCTCGGCTCGACCTCACATGGCTAAGGCCTCGGCCTAGATATCACCTGTAAAAGGCCACGGCTAGAGCTCGGTCAAGGTCGGCCTAAGCATCGGCAAAACGAGGCATCGAGATACACCTATACCACCCCTTATTCCTCAACAACGAATACCACGTCACCATCTTCTTTGTACCGTCTTCGTCTTTTCTCATCCTTGACGCTGCGAGGGTTGTATACCGTATGGTGGCCGACTCGCCCGAATACCCGAGACCGTTGCTTATGCCGAGCACCCGAACCCGCCGACCACCCCCAGATGGGACGAAATGTGTCGGCGGAGTCGGCCGAGTATGTCGGCATCATCAAGATGGTTACGGAGAGCTTAATTAACATAATGCATAGGATTAGACCCCTAATTTTCCGAGGCCCAATCCTTAATTGCGGCCCAATAAGAACTACTATAAATAGGACCCCAACGAGGAATGTAATTAATTCTGAACTACCGCATTTATTACGCCGAGCACTAACTTGAGCATCGGAGTGTCTTTGCAGGCACACCTACCCCTGACTTTGGATTACTCGGATAGGAACGAGAAGACCGAGACCCAGGATCAGACCCGCTACAACAAGGATAATTAGTGTGTATCCTAACACAGGAACAAAATGTAAAAAGGTGAATGTTAGATTTCAATATATAGAATATTCTACTCATGAAAAAGACAAATGTTATATACTTCAAACCAATTTCAAACGGTATCGTGCAAAAAGGTGATATGGAAAATTCACGAATGGGAGCAAAAACTTTAGGTTTCTTCACTTAGCAGTCGTCAAATGTAATGTTAAGTGATTTTTTAATCGATTATTTTGCCTGCAAATGATGAGCAACTTAATAATATGGTATGAAGGACTTCTTAATATGGGTCGATCATGATCTTAGGCCCTTGAGTCGAATTTTCTTATTAGTCTTAGATCTTTTATTTGGAAATTAATAGATACACCTCTATACTTCTTTATACATGGTTATGTTCTAATAATTTTTTTGTATTTTGCTGCACCTTTGTTATGTGCTTTTAACTTTTGGTTTTTTTTTTTAAAGGTTGATTTCATTTTTACTTAGGAATCTTGGATGCTTTGATGATAGGTACTGACTTTTGCATCATAATCCTAAGTGTAAATACGGATAGCATTAAAGTTTCTTACTCGTGGTTTCTTACGAGGAGAATAAAAAAAATGAAATAATTATATTAGAATAATCAACTTAATTTTGTATAGTTCAAATTGAAACCTATAAAATAACACTTTTAATTACTCTTCTAATATTTTAACACTGAGTTATGGAAATGTTATATTTATTTTAAATCATTTTTGTGTTGGTAAGCTGAGTTATTATTTAGTGTTAAGAGATTCTCGGACTTAAGGATTCCTTAAGAGTTTTAGTGATATTATGGACAGAGATCTAGTTTGACATCAGAAGAAAGAGTATATAAGGTTTTTATTTAGAATAAAGTCTCACAAAATCAAGTTTTCAGAATCCTAGAAAAAGATGCTTTGATCCGTGAGCTTCTTTCAACTCCAAATCTTCTTTTTTTTTCTTTCCTAATCCTTATTAGTGTTGTATTGTTGTTGGATTCAGGTCAGTAATTGTTGAGATCAGTTTGGTGAGTTGCAAAATCAAGAGTTCTCTTCTTCTTCTCTGGTTAGCCTCGATTCCGAGGTAAGGGAAGCTAGATTTATGATTTCTTTGTTGTATGTTGGATTTGTTGGATGATTATGATGCTGAATGTGTTAAGTCAGACGATGA